AAAGAACACATAGCCATCACTTCAACAGCAGAGCGACATGAAACCAAGAATCAGTTTGCAGCTTTTGTCGATTTAAAAGTGTGCACAGGCAGTTATTTTTTAACTTCATGTTTAGCTTGTGCAAACAGTCTCCAGCAACACTGCACATTGATTAAAAATTTCTGATGATGCAAGATCAAGTAGTTCATTAGGAAGCCTGCACTATATTTAAGCAAGCACAAAGAGATGAGCTGTAATTTGTCAAGCATCTTTTAAGTCTCTTTCCAAGCAACTGCAGTCAAAAAGCAGGGCCGAAAGAGCTGGGGTTACACTGAATGGATGCCGCGAGGGTTGCACAACGGAGCACTTGCTTGAATGGTGGGGATTTTGTGCGTAGGCTTCAGCTGTCAAACAACGCTATCCACAAATATGCACGTACTATGGCAGTATGTCAAAGGGGTTTTTTTTAGGTTGTGTGGAAAAGTAAGTGATCCAGCATGTCTCTAACCCCAGAAGAGAAAATGCATGAACACACTTGCATCTATCACCACCTTGCTTTCTCCATCTGGACAATTCAAAAACCTTTATCCTTGCTAAGTGCAGAAAGACCAATTTTCCCAGGATCAAATACATCCTACAGCAAGCAGGTAACTGAATCAAGCTCTGTGAAGTCCCCAGCCAGCACCATTTTACTGCTGTCTATTCAGACTTCTTAGATGAATTCAGAGCAAAACTGGCCCTAATCTTCTTGTCCAAAGCCCAAGATCGTCCCAGGCTCCAGAAGCAAAACGAAGTCTGTCAGGCTCTTAACACTGCTAACATAGTTTACTCTGGAACAAAGAAATACTTTTCCACCAACAAAATGCATTGCCAGTCAGTTTCTCCTAGTTTCTTCTAAACACTTACTGCACTTGCATGCAAGAAAAACTTGTTACAAAACATCTAACAAACTTCAATTTTAAAATGAAACCAAATATTTTAAACAAATGGCATTTCCAACTCGGGCTGTATTTTTAAGTGCGGTATGTACCTCATGCCACTAATTCATTTTTTTCCTGGAAGCTGAGCCATTTTGAGTGAAGTCACATAATTTAAAATTTCATTAAAAATGCAAAGAGTTTTAGGACTGCAAATAGCATAAAGCAGTATGATATTCTAAGAAGCTTCCACTCACAATTTTAGCATTCTCTGCCTTTCATTGCATGAGACAAACTACATGTGAAACGGGTAAATAAACTGCACCCAACATCTAATCTTTACTGAATATTGCTGCAGTTTATATGACTATGTAGGTCACAAACTACACATGCTTCAAGTAAGCATCAGGGTAGGCATGCTCTACCCTATGCCCAGGCTAGATGGCCATTTTCATGCATAACAGAAGGCCTGGAAATACGAGACAAAGTTTAACCAAAGCTATAATGGGCACAAGAAGCAGTTACAAGATTTTTTTCCACTTTAGTCTCAAATAGTTAAGCCACTTGCTAAACTCAGTTACGCGTGGATCTCTTAAGACACAGGCAATCAATGCAATGTAGAAGACTTGAGTGCAAGCATTCTCTCTTCACTGTTCCCTGCAGTAAAATGGTCAACAACCAAGCCGCACCATTTCAGAAACACCAAAGACTACAGTGCCTCAGAAAATATACTGGTCATTGCATCATAAAGAAATGCAGCCATCTTAGAAGACAGCCATTAATCCAAACTTTCCTTCTCACCCATTTGCACCAAAAGGTATCCAGTATCACAGAAATGAAATAGAAACCCAAATAAATCAGGAATAAATACAATATCTGAAATAAAGTATCAAAAAGCTGATTTAACGTCTCCACCTTCAAAACTTTTTCCTCTTCTAATTTCAATTTTTTTTTCCAAGAGGTGCATAAAAAGACTGCTCAGAGAGAAAAGAACATTTGATTAGATAAGTAATGACAGTATGTTTTTTAAAGACACTTGTTTCATAATTAACACATAGGACTTTTCTGTGTATGTAAATCTACTGATTTTGAGAAGTCACTATTTCCCTTTCCTAAAACCCTACCTTATCCACACAAGCAGAATTCTTAACCAACTCATCAGGAACTGGGAGTCCCAAGCATGATGTACCGTACCACACATACATCAGTGCCAGTTTTAAAAAGATTTGACACAGCCCAACAGAAAAAAAAAAAAAAAAAAAAAGAGGTCCTCAAAGGGGACTTTGACACCCCAGCACCTAACCCAGCCTGCCTTTTGGCACTCAAGTGTTCCCTGCAGTGCCTTGGGAAAATCAGCCACAACCAAAATATAAAGACTGCAAGTCTTTGTCCACCTGGGACACTGAGACACAAACCCTCCCTCAAAGATGGGTAGAAGAAAAGACAGACCACAGAATATAGGCTGGAAATCAGGCACCTCACCTGGATTCACTGTAGGTTCATTTTATTCCCACTGAGCTATCCAACTCACATCAGTCTTCCTCTTCTAGCTTGACAGAAGCAGCTACCCTGAAATAACCAGTAATCTGTAACTGAGGACACTCCTACAGATATGGGTGCGCAGGGAAGCAAAGCTAACCAACAGCAGAAATGCAGATGGTAGCTTGTTTCGTTCTCGAAATTTTAAGCTCCAGCACATGGTGAGAAGTACCTTTGAGAACTCAAACCCTGGTCCCGCTACCATGCGCCACATGCCTTCCCGAACAGCTTGCTTAAGTTTCGAGTTTTCTCTTTCTTCATCTCACATCGCACGGCAGGAGAGCTAACTCCCAGCTCAGTCCTCTGTCTTCACGTGTAAGAAATAAATAGGTCATTTTCCAGCTACCAGGTATGATGAGCAACAATTCCATGAAAGCCCTGCAAAAAGAACAACTCCAAGAAGCCTGCACAAAGTGATAAAAAATTAAACTTGCACTTCTACAGCAATGTCAACCTTCAAGCAAAGCTATTATACTGTACAGGCAGCAGTCTTCATTCATTAACTACCTGTTCGAAATGTGCAGCTATGAAAAAAAAAATGAGTATAAGCTTCTTCCAAAGATATTTTTGCAATCATGAAAAAAACCACCTTTTCCATAAATTTCATTACAGAACTGCAGCTAGCTACTCCTTTTAGAAAAACTAGCCTAAGCCCAGTGTTCAGTGGCCTACTTCTAATGCAAAATTCTAAGAGAAAAATTAATGAGACAAAAAAGTAAAAAAATAAGCAATAAACTCCAATTGGCATATCATTAGCAACCTTGAGCAGGAAAATCCAGGTTCAACATTCACCAATTTTCCTGCCTGGAGCAGGTGACTAGCTAAAAAAGATCTGTTTGGGTCAAAAAAAAATCTCTCCCTACCACTGGCACATCTGGGCAAAGATATCCAAAATACCAACCTCTCCAACTGCAAAGCCAAAACCTCATTGTTTTGCCACCACTTAACACTTTTCACAACCCCAAAGTTCCCAGCAAACCCATCACTCAGAGAATAAAAAAATCTAACTCAGATTTCTGTCATTAAGTCAGCAGTAAGCGCTGCGCTGGCCTATGTCAGCATTACAGCTGCCCTAGTTGTAGGCCAACAAAATGACCAAGTACAATCGTTTAAAAATGCAAGTCTAAAATTATATTTTATCAGTGTCACGAGCAGAATGCAGGAATTATGTACTAGAGCTGCTGGTTTTCAACTAAAAGCTCAGCAGCCACCTGCTAAAGTCAAGAACCTTTCAGGCCATTTGAAAGCCACCAAAATTTTAGGCCAAGGCTCAGTGCAACAGGGCAAGATCTGCGTAATTACAGCTGTAACCAGTTTTGATCCTGCCCAAGAACTGCATTTATTTGTAGCACTTGCTATGACACAAGCATAATTGCTCTAAAACCCAATAAATTTCACTGTGGTCTTGTTGCGGAACAGAAAGCGCTCTCTCTATAGGGGTAAGTCTAGCTCTGAATACTACTGTCAATATCCATTTTTCCTAGGGCAGTTCCAACTTTTAAGTGAGGTTCTCGCTCCAAAACCTCTCCAACACAGTAATGATCTTTCACCACCACCAAGAAAGACCATGCCCACAGCACAGCCCCTATATACCATTAACTCTGCAAGGCTTTCGAAGCTAAACATCTGCCTGCTGCTGCTACAGCACATCTGTTCGAAAGGCCACCAAAACTATACGCTAGCAACGCTTCTCTATGGTTTGAGTCCTTATTCGTAATTGCATACTAATTCCATATTCCAGAATTACAATCCTCCTTGCCGAGATCCAACGTGCTCCCGCCTGTAACACATCCTCGTGTTTACTGTATCCAAGATTACGCCTAAGCGCAGTTCCCGCATCGCATTCGGAAAAAAGAGGTGGCTTTTAATCGGGAAGAAGCGATTGCCACCTCTTGTCACCAAGACCCTTGCTGCATCGTACGGCAGCCGAGCACAAGCTCTGCCTTACTGACTGTATGACAATCAAGGCAGCGGACACAGGCTTCGCCTCTCCTGCCGCGCAGACTGAAGCAACCCGGGTAAAGCGATGGGCCTGCTGTGATTATATTTGCTATTCAAGACGAGTTACTAAATCAGAAGAAAAAAAAAAAAAAAAAGTGCTGTGGACGTGAGTCACGGCAGGACAGGCGTATTTGCTATGTGAGCCGAAAAATCAACACAGCCAGAGATAAGCGGCTGACCCACGTTGCTCCGGAGCAGGCAGGGGCTTCCCGGGCCGGGTTGGGGGTTGGGGGACACGGACGGACGGACACAGCACCTCGGCGACCCGGGGGCAGCAGCAGGCAGGCCCGCTACAATCGCCGAGGAGCGCTAACGTTAATCCTCGCCATCGCGGAGCTCCCGTTAATCCGCCCGGCTGCCGGGCCCCGGCTCGGCGGCCGCCCGGACAAAAGGAGGCCGAGGCGGCGGCGGGG